AAACGTCATCGCAAGGCGCAAGGCATCTGCCATCTCGAACCCGTTGGCCGCACCATCCCCAGCACCGTCTATCGGCCGCTCGCCGAACTATCAGTGTACGGGAGACCCGGGCTGATAGAGCATGGGGACCGGGGATTACACGGAGGCTGGGGATTCAGCGACAGAGGCCGACCAGTGCCCACCCGCAGTCTGACCCACCTCCTGTGAGCGCCAGCTTGGGCGGGTACATGAGGTTCAGCGAGTGATAGAGCCGGTAGTTTACGAAGCCGAGCAGCGTGGTATAGAACTCGGAAAAGATGGCCATCACCTTCATGTCCACGTTCTCCGGCCGCTGAGGGAGGGACAGACGAGGCGCGCATTAAAATGCTGCTGCATAAAGCACACACGGATTGTGTAATACTGTTACAACAATCTAAAAATGCAGCATGTCATGATATCACAACCAAATACAAACCAGGATGTCTTCAATACTGATATTTTTTCGTCCTTTCCGAGTTCCAATCCTATATGCATCACTTCATTCCACAGCTAAGCATAGTGTTTTCTCCACCTATCACGGTAGCTTCGTCCATCCTCCAACCGTAAGCCCCGTCCCATCCCGTCCTGTGAGCCCTGTCCCTTCCCTCTACCGTCAGCCCCGCTCTCTCACCATGTAGACAAAGTGGTGCGGCATCACCCAGGTGACGGCGATGCCCTGCACCTCTGCCTGGAAGTAGTAGCCCTTGATGGAGATGAACGCCTTCCGCAATGCCCGTGACTCGATCACATAGTGCATGAATTCGACGGTGAGTCGGCGGCAGTCGGATACCAGCGCTGTGAACGGGGTGGAGAGCAGGGCACAGAGGTCAGAGAGGGCATATATGGGGGGCTGGACGGCAGGGCACAGAGGTCAGACGGGCACACATACGGACCGGTGAGACGGCGACAATCGGACACCAGAGCTAGAACGGGGTGGAGGGCAGGGCACAGAGGTCAGAGAGGGCATATAGGGGGCTGGACGGCAGGCCGGCATAGAGGTCAGAGGGGCACATATACGGACCGGTGAGACGGCGACAATCGGACACCAGAGCTAGAACGGAGCGGAGGGCAGGACACAGTCAGGTAAGATAGAGGCATATAGGGGGCCGGCATACACAGCGGTCAGAGGGTCATACACGGGCCGGACAGTGCGACAGTCGACAACCAGCGCTGTAACGGAGCTGTAGAGGCACACTGAGGTCAGAGACGGAACGGCGCGGCTCGGTGGTTACATTCGGTAACATTACATAGAGAAAAGACGATGGGTGCCCCGATGACGCCCATTCACCTGTGAGCAAACCACCATCCACCGTCTATTCTCATTCTACAATCATTTCCATACATCGACCACACCTTCAACCACAACACGACGAAAACTTCACAACAAAAACCCACCTCGACGGCCACCGAAAACATCTGTACGTCACCCTCCACCCGCGGCCGAGCCCGCACCGCCGCCGGTCATCCCACAAACCGACATACAGCACCACACCACGTCCCGTTCAACTCCAGAGTGAGAGCCCCTCTCCAGGGCGTGTGGCGTCCAATAACTCACCCTCTGATAGTTTACTGACGGTCGGCATGATGGCAAACAGGCTGCAGAGCGACAGCGGGTCGTCCAGATCGTTCAGCGCGTCAGAGAAGGTCGGGTACCTGGCGGCAGGCGCGGTCAGCTAGCGTCAGTGGGTGGATACCATCATTGTGGCCGGCGAGATCAGAGCTCGGTATAGGTCGGGAGGGCGTATCGAGTAGAGGTCGAAGAGGGGAGGGTATAAAGGACAGGGAAGGACAGTGGTTAGGTAATCGATATAAGGAGCAGGAAGGATAGTTGGTTCATGGTGACGGGCAGAGAGATAGATTTTGAGATTACGAGCAGACACTGTGTACCATTGTAAGATTATTCTATACATGAGAGGAGCTTGGTAAGAACTTCTACCACCTGCTTGGCAGCTTGCATGATCGTATGCATGTCATCAAACACCAACCTCTATTATGCCGTAACAAACAGGTTAGTGAGACAAGTAGTGGAGCACTGTGTCTGCTCTACTGCACTGCAGTGAAGCCGTGACTTTGTTATGCACATTGCAGCTGCCATCTATTCGAGTCTCCGTGAGGATACTGACAGAGTTGTCTTACCTTTCTTTGACGAGGTGGTCGAGGTCGTACTTGGGGCGACCCTTGTTGAGCCGCTGGGCGCCCTCGAAGTCGCGTTTGCCCTTCGACTTCTGAATCTTCTTGTGCCTCGCCTGGTAAAAAGATGATGCATAAATTACATTTTTGCTGTTTCATCAGTCGATTACATTCAGTCCGTCATAGTTAACTTTTTCAGATTTAGGTTGATTTGTAAGTAAAAGATACAAGGGTTATCATGACTTTTCAAACAGGTATAAAACGTTAGTTCAACAAATAAAAAGATAAATGATGATTACCCACTTTCTAAACATAACTTTTAACTACTAAGAAGAAAACCAAATGACAGCTATGAAGCCCCCCGTGTCTTAAGTGTAACCGACCTTCATATCCCACATTTTCCAGATGAGCGGCTCATGCAGCAGGAACTGTATATCCTTCTTGTAGTAGAGCGTCTTCTTCTCTGTGGAGCCCTTCTGCGCACGAGTGCGTTTGATGGGCTCGCGGGGGTAGATGCCTTTGAGGATGCAGAGCCGCCGGAAGTCGCGCAGGTTCACCTGCAGCTTGTCCAGCGCCTGCTTCCTGGTCATGTACCAGGACGCCTCGCCCGAGGCGTACTGACAACAGAGCGGAAAAGCCAGGTGAGGAGGGGAGGGCCGTCAGTACTGGTAAAACCTTATTACAGAATGGCTACACATAATCTCATGTTTGAGAGACAGTGACTTTGAAACCGCAGGTGTATAAAATAGAGCATTTTGTCATGAAATAAATGCATTATAGGGGGATACGACTGGAAACAGACTGCAGAGAAGAACAAGATATTAGTTAGCACATGAGCTAAGCACCACTAGAGACAAATATAGCAAATTTCAAACATCTTGCATACATGTCTGGTAGGAAAATAATGGAAACATACCTTTTTCTTCATTTTGCCTGAGCCAGTCATCTTGAATTATGTAACAACAACAACAGCTTGGTTTAAGTGGTACAAGATAATGATCACTGGCTACCCCAGAGCTGAAAAGAGAAAAGTTAACTAGACACACATTATTGGATTCCACAACTGTCCTAACTCTTAATTACAATGCTAATGAGCAAGCAGAAGTCATAAGCACAGCCCACCACTAAAGTAATTTGCAGTTTTACCAATCTCAACGGATGACTTTGGTGATTTTTTAATGCAGAGTGTTCAAAAAGGAGGCATCAATAGTTAAAGTTCCAGCCGCAAAGGTGACGACTGACGATACCTGTAAGCTATGTTCAAAGTTTCATTGTAGTCTGGCTAATCGTTCCTAAGCTTCAGAAACAGAACATACACATGACTGAAACTGCACATTACTTCTGCTGTGCAGAAGTAGGTAATGTGCACATACTTCTGTACAATGCAGCTCCTTCACAATTCAACATAAAATGCTTGTAATGAAATTAAGCACCTCTCTAACATTCCACCTGCCAGTGGGAGAGGAGTGCAGTCTTAAGGGCAGGCTTGTGAGCTGTGAGGGTCAACTTAAGGCAGACTTTGGGGCAGGTCTTCACTGCCTTTTGATAACATTTGATAGGGACCACGGCGGTTCTTTGCCCCTAAATTCGGCAATCCGGGTTCGATTCTCGTGCAACGTACGCAGCATTGCATGCAGCAGGCCATGCATGCGGCGCTGCTGCTGCCTGGCCGCGCCGCCGCTTGGAAGTTGGAAATGTGAGAGGTCCGGTTAGCACCTCGGTCCACTGGATATGGTGCTTAAACCGAACCAACCGACCAATGCAGGCAACAGCAAGTTCGTGAAGTTGCAATGGGTTTGTGGTATACCTACTATCCAACCTGTGCACCCCGACTCCTGAGTGTGCACCTGCCATGCTTTACTCTGGCCCAACATGAGCACTGCTTAGTGTGGCCAGTGGCGCCTGATCTCAAAGCCACCTACTGATACAATTGGTGACATAAATGGCTAAATGAATGAAAAAGTACCTATGCGTCCATAACTTAAACTTATATTACATTATGATCCACAGCATGCACCCGCAACACTGAGTATTTCCTAAATCCTTACCATCATATCCTGTGGCTGTGCTTTGTACTTTTTCTAAGCTTCAGCTTCTGTGCTTCATAGACAATCAATTCATAATGGAAGCGTACCTTGGAAGCGTACGAAAACTGAGAGTCTATGCGTCTATGACCCCCTAATTCTCATCAAATACTCTGAGGAATTCACCTCAAGCACTAGCAAGAACACGGGTTAGAGGGCCTTGAGAACACGTGCGCTTTCACAAAATGTGTGTATGTAGGCAGCATGTAGACATATATGGTGCTACAAAGACGAAGTGTGCATAATCGCTGTCCACTTGCAACCACTAATTTATGATGCGCTGTATGTTGCTTAAACAGTTTGAAGCAGTCGGTTCCTTCAGCAAATGTTTTAATTATTGTTCTCTGTATTTATTTTTTAAATGATATATGCTCGATATGCTGCCGAGGATAACAGAAGTGAGACTGATATCATTCTGTTAAGTAAAAAGCAAACGGTTTAATGAGTGGGTTGATCCCCAATTGGTCACAAAACTTGGGTGGTCTTTTATTTTCAAGCCTTTTTTAAGCTGGTTGTCCACAAAACATCTCATTTTTCGCCAGTAGAACATTTCAATTGAAATATAGAAATGAATGTTGCCTGCCATCTGGTGGTCATCAGTTACCCCTATAGTTAACATTTCTCTCACTAGGTATCGCTGCTGTCGTGAGCGTCATCAGTAGTAGACTCGCCTTGGCTAGTATGTGCCGGGCGCTCCAAAAGATTTTGCTAGCAGGTGGACGCCAACTATTTTGTCGGGGTTCTGGTGTGTGACGTCATTAGAACGCAACAGTGCGAGGTGAGCGAATGTGCTGCAGGTCGCGGAGCGTGTCGCCATGTGGTGTTTGTGAATTTTTTGTGATTGTGGCGAAAAGCGATGGTATACTCATGAGGGCGTTAGGACAAAATGGTCAGAGAGACTAGACATCTCTGGGTTGGAAATTTGCCTGACAGTGTTACCGAGGATCGGATAAAGGAGCACTTCAAAAGGTGAGTTTTGGACCCGCCATATCTCGCTCCCCATTGCTGTTGTGTCCCACGGTCTACCGATTGCTGTATGTTTTTCGACTTATTAGTCCGGAATACAAACGTTTCTATCTGTCCATCTATCCATATATCTATCAAGTATCGTTTATATAACGGGAAGGCTGCGTCTCAGTCCACAACGCAAAGGGCGCGCCATTCTAACAGCTGCTATGAGCTATCATGTTATTCTTTCTCAGGATCGATTTTACTCTGAAAAGAATCATTTGCCTTAAATTCAATGCTGAGGATCCATGATTTTTGGTCCTCAACGTTCATACACCATACTGGATCGCCTATTTCATGTCGTTGTGCCGTACCAGTGCCTCAGTCTGTCGTCTGTCGAATGCAAATGTGTCCGCTTCAACCCAACTGAGCCTGTATGGTTTGTTTGACTTCCTTCCAGCCGAATCCTGCGAACATTGTTTATTCGTGCACGTGGTTTCAGGATGTGGGGTCACGTGGAATGTGGCGCCATTCTTTCCATTAGCATATTCGCTGGCAGTGCAGAATTCGGTGGCTACTACTCTAGCTACATTTTAACTGTAATTGTGAGTATCTCGCTACAATGATGAAGCTTTTAGAAAAACACCATTGCACTTGGACAGAATCGCTATTCTATAGTGATCCATCACAGTCGTTACGGAGCATGGTACCAAGGGCATGGTACACAATGTCCATATTTTATCGAAGGGTGCTGGAGATCGAGCTCAAACAAAGTTTGTGTTGGAAGCTAAGAGCGACTCGAGATTTCGGTAGCCCACGCTACCCTGAAATGACCTCAGATTGACCTCGGATGGCTCTCTGCCCTCTGCATCTGCCCTCGAAGCGTGTGGGGTACCGGACAGTCACAAAGATCTCGCTAAGTTATTGATTTCTAATTCGTCGAGTTAAAGCCCCAAATACCCCCTCCCCCTCTTGGGCTTGGATCCGCCAGTGTAGACTGGTGTCTGATGATATCTGATGAATAATCACAATGAAAATTGGTGTATTCATGAACCGATTGCACAATATGAAAAAGTAGATGAATTGAAGTCGGTACACTGGGCGTGGTGAGCGCGTCTTGTGCTGGTTGTGCATTGAATCGGTTCGTCAGCTGCTATTCACAGGAAAATGGCATTAGAAAATATCTGGATCGAGCGATGAAATATCTGAATCGAGCGTTGATGGATCAAGTAAGAAGAGTTGTCAACCAAAGTGATAGAACTTGAAAGGCGTTACTTTATCCGTCTTTTTCCATTGAAATCCAAACTGTATCGGCGAGTTACTCGTCACGGAATTCGCCACGGCGCTGCTGTGTTACCGGTCTGACGTCACGGCTCGTTACTGAGACAAATTACCGGCCGCTCCGACTCAGGAGTCGTATTTATTCCCGGCACCGGGTTCCAGGCATCGCTGCATCAATTAAAATCGTCGGCGGGGGCGACGAGCGGCGTTCCTGATTGCGCTCCGAAATGCTGGGAAAATTGTGTTACGGTAACCGGTGGCGCTGTGTCCCAGCTCTGCGGTCAGCACGCTCCGTTCGGCATGGCAACACGCGGCGCCATGGCGCAGAGAAACCGCTCGGTGTCGTACCGCCTTCTGAGCACTACTGAAAGGCCCAAAACACTTCCGTAGTGCCATAGGCTGCTGACGAGGCTAGTGGCTACTCAAGTCATTGAACTAGGATCGATATCGACGGGCGCACAGGTTTTCGCAGGATCGGGCTCACATGTGTTCCTCATGTCAGAGGGCGTTCGTGGGTAATTAATGCTACAACAAAGTACACAAACATTTTTGTTTAGTTTCATTTTTAGTTGCTGTGCAGTTTCACGATCGCCACAATGTAATTAAAGGCATAGTACTGCCAATGTGACTGGCACGGCAGGCGGTTTGTCAATAGTACCCACTACGAGTGGTGGCAGCGCCGCTTTGGCAATGCGTAGAAGCGAGCTATAAGCGGACCATCCGATGAACGGTTTCACCGCGATCGATCTGTCGCCATGGGAATATCGGTTTCTGGTCTCCGGCGTCCCCTTCACGACACATCTGGCGCCTCTGCGACCAACCTGACGCCTGCTGGCTGCCGTCTCTGAGTGGTGTCCGTCCAGCCCTGTCCATTCCGTCCCCAGTCCAGTCCCCGGCGGGCTGTGCCGCTCCCCGGCTCTATCAGCCACCAGGCCCCCGGGCGACGTCTGGTAGGGGTCTGCTGCTGGATGGCACTGCACCGGCGTCTGATGAGGTTCTGCACTGGCGTCTGATGAGATCCTGTACCGTCCTGCACTGTTCCATAGCCCAGGCCGGTCCCCTCCTTTCTATACCGCTGGTAGGTGACCGTCCGTCTGTCTATCCATCCATCCATCCGTCTATCCGTCTATGCGTCTATACGTCCATCCGTCCGTCCGTCCGTCCGTCCGTACGTCCGTCCGTCCGTCCGTGCGTTGGTCACAGAACAGGATGTGACGGCTCGGCTGCGGACGTGCTGTTTTTCTGCCCGATTAGCTCTCTGCTGGGGGCGAAGTATGGTGACGTGACCTCGCCTTAGCACGCCGTGTGAAATCCCGCGCAACTGGGCGGACGGATTCGGCAGTGTCGTTGATTTCGCCGTGCCTAAGCAAGCCCGTGCCTGATGTGGTTCGCGGTGGTTTCGTAAGGCTTAGTCGCGATGATTTGATATTTGGAGGTGGCACCTTGGGAACCGCCATATGCTTCTACTCAGACACAGCGCCACAACTCCTGCTGTGTTAGTGAATGTCGCCATCTGGGAGGGTGTCCAAAGCTGACAAACGCTGTTACCACGCCAGCCCGCTTTGTCATTCGACAAGGCTGCTTAGCTGCGCAGAGTTCTCCGAAACTGGACATTACCAGATGCACAGCACTGCCGTCCGGAGCTGCTGCTGTGTTCAGCGGAGCAGCCGGCCTAGGGTGCAGCCGTGGTCGGAACGAGAGGGTACGCCGGGCGTCGGCGATTCCATCAGCACCATCAGCTGGCGTCAGCGTGCGCTGCGGGCGCGGTCACGTCGTCGACATTTGGGTACGGCACATAAATAATATTCGTGTGTGGAGAATACCTGGCGGCCGTGGTAATAGCGCCGGGCCGGGGCCGCGGGCCGCCTCGCTCGCGGGGCCTGGCGCGGCCGGCGCTGGGCGTTCACCGGCGCCGCGGACGGTCGATGGTGACTCACCGACGGCGGCCATGATGGTTTGCCGCGCGCATGCGCACTGGCCGCTCCGCCATGACTGGCCGCGGGGCTGGGGAGGGGAGGGGAGCGCTGCTGCTGCGTAGGTCGGAGCGGGGCAGGGGGGGGGGGCGCTGATGGATGACGGCAGTCGCATGGAAAGCGGCGGTTTTGGAAAACGATGGCTATTGCTGGACGCGGACTTTCATAGGGAGCGGATTATGATTCATGTGGGAGTGGGCGGTGGAACGCCGTCGTTTAGGGAGGACCAACGGGCGTCCGACGAAAGAATGATATTGGATGGTAGTTTGCATGGCTATTCTAAGCTGAGCGAGGTATGCAGACCGTAAATTCTAATAGCTTAGATTTGGCTGCGAATAGGATTGCATTCACCCCCGGCAGTTTATTCTCGTTTGTGATGTTGATGTTAATTGTCGATGCTTGTTCCTAGCCTGGCTTCGATAGCGTAACCTGTATCCCCCTTTATGTCCAAATGTTGCAAACATTTTCTCGTTCCACTGCGGGTTTCAGTTAAGCTCCGAGGAACTTCAGAGGAGGGGGAAATCTACGGACGAATGGCCCAGAGTCAAATGCCACATCATTACCACCATAAAATTCTCGGCGAGCCTGTGGATATTGAAAAGAAATGATATATGATGCCAAAGGCGGTGAACCAGAATTTCTGCTGGCTGAAAAATTGGTGCTTTATTTTCATCATCGAGCTGTACTGTCAAATTGATGTCCAGAAACCTTGCAAGCGCAAAAATAGCGAGGAAAAGAACGGGGAGTGGCAGGAAACGTTCTCGGCTTTGGTTCGGCCGGTCTGACTTTCCTGGTGCACGGGCCCGAACTACACCTTTGGCCTGTCCGATAGCCTCTGGTCGATCGGCGAAGTGTGTGTGTATTTTCACTGTCTGTGTTTGTCGGCCTTGTGTGTGCGGGCGGGGGAGAGTCGAAGGTCCCTTGGTTCTGTACGCACGCACCCCATCCCCCCCCCCCCACAGCCCGCCGGGGAGCGTGTTTATACCGGAGCGCCGGTGAATTGGCCGCCGGCCAAGTCTGGGGCCGGTTTTGTGGGCAGGGAGGGGGGGGGAGGGGTGATACCATCGGCCGCCGGGGCCGGTCGCCGGGCGTCCGCCGGCACCCGACTCGGGCCGAGCCCGTCCCACCAGACCCGCCGGCCCACGCGCGGCCCAGGGGACCGACGGCCAATCAATGGGACCCGGTACTGACCGGCGCCGCGGTACGGGGGATGGGTTATAGACGTCAGCGTACCGCGCAGCGCGCTGGCCAACTATGGTTGCACAACTTTTGGTAATCCCCAGAAGGCCAGCCAGGTTCGAGTTCGGTCAGCCGTGCTGCGACTTCTTAGCTTCTAAAACCGGAATGGATTTCTGCTGCGAAGTATACCAATACCAGCTAGATTCAATATGCACTAAAACAGCTTCGCTCCGTGGCCGTTTCTCCATTGATGAAAAATTCGACGGCTGTCTACAGACTACCGGGCAAACAATGCCGTGAACAGTCTCGACAAAGCTTTTTGGCAAACGCTGAGCTACACTTCTTCCTTTCCACGCCGCCTCCCTAGAACCTCATGTGCGTTCTGTACCACAGTTTTATTGCAATTGTAACCTTAAAGACACCCGGCGTTTTCCTGGCTTTGTTACCATTCTCTTTTGAGCCAGTTTAGTTTTATTACAAGCAACACAGTTGCAGCGCTAACTTGGTCTTACCCTAAGTGGGGTTTTCCACCAGAAGTTCACCCATCCCACCCCAGCTACTCTGACTCCTACTGCTCTGCTGCTTCGT